GTGGGAAACGGCATTTCGATCTCTCTGTCTGAACACACAAACTGGGGGATTGACAATAAAGTTGACTTTGACTTTGAAACTGGGTCACACACTTGAATAGGGGAGTACATTGGGATAAAAGTGCTTAATTTAAATGTCCATGTCTTATGATGTTCACTGCTGTGATTAATTACTTTGGTAAATCTGAACTTAAAACACAAATAATAACAATGACTTACCTGAATTAAAACAGTGATAAATCAGCTACTTCAAGGTGACTACAATATGTTTTATATAGCAGTACATTGCTTTACTAAAAAAATACCTCACAAAACTGCACTACAGAAAATCGGAACTTTCCCTTTAAGCCGTCATCATCAAGTTTTCTGTTTCAAAAATAAAACCCCAAGCTCTTATTGTGGCAGGAGCATCCTGTGGTTTATACCTTTGTTTTATTTTCCAAAGAATCACCACACATGCTTGTGGTTTCCCTGCGTCATTCAGAATAACGTCTGGTGCAGGGAGGGAGAACCTATTTGTTATGTCACAGGGGGGCTCTCCAATGCAGCTGTGCTGTTTGTCAATGCTGGTTAAATGTGTGTGTGCAATCTCTGAGCAAGGTCTACACAGGAATGTTGGTATGTGTTCCCTGGAAATGAGGTATAGAGATCTGAGGGTCCCACCTGCTGTGTTAGTGTGACCTTCACCTAACATATGGGACTGGATTATTTTTAGTGACGTAAAAAGACTAGTCAGATTTCTTCTTCCTCAGCTTTTCAACAACAGCCGGTTGTTTCTTGAGAAAACATACTATGTTATATAATATTGGGTATATGTGTTTATATTAATATATATGTATTTGTATGTGTATTTTTTATTTTGGTTATTTTTTCCATTTTAATTAATAAAAACGTTTGAATAAGTGTGTAGACTTGACAAAATGTATATATGAATTAAATATAAAAATATATGTTTTATTTGTACTAGTTATAATAAACAATAGAACAAATTATTCAATAACATAAACGATATTATTACAACAGATTTTAATTTGTAATATTCGTGTGTGTGTGTGTGTGTGTGTGTGTGTGTGTGTGTGTGTGTGTGTGTGTGTGTGGTGTGTGTGTGTGTGTGTGGTGTGGTGTGTGTGTGTGTGTTGTGTGTGTGTGTGAGAGAGTGTGAGAGAGTGTGAGTGTGGTGTGTGTGAAGGGTACCAGCACATATCAATACGTTTACAATAATTCAGGCTTTAATATTATACAGTATTTATCTTGGGTTAAATTCGGTGTGTGGGCAATGTTTTTTAAATCGTTTTATTCATATAAAAATAATAACAGAGTAGAATGTAATATTATTTAAAGTTAAAATAAACCAGTGTAATTTTCAACAAAAACAGCTTATTTTCAAATGAAACGTCAGAGAACGTCGGCTGCATGGAGACGACCCTGGTTACTTGGCAACGCAAAAACCTCGTCGACCAATCAGATGCTTCGTTCGGCGCATTACTACAATCAAACTCAACGATTTCACGCCTGTGTGACTTGCTGATGATGAAAGTTGGACTATTCTTTGGGTAAATATACAAACATGTGTGTTTTATATTAAATTTAAAACATGTAAGTTATTGCATATTACATTTATTGTTTTAATAGTGAACTTTTAATTTGTAAAAACCACGTTACATATAAATAGAGGGGACTGTGTTATGCTACGGCGGTGCATTTGTTTCAGTGGGTCGTGCTTCGGCTTTATAAAGCGGGCGTGTCTTACTGCAGATGGTTCAAATAGAGACTGTTCTGCAGCACCGCATGTGTTTGTCTCCCAGCAAGTGGATTATGAGGAGGTGTCTGCACGAAATCCAAGTTAACATCTTCTTTTTCTGACTGAGTGCTTTTCAGAGGACGCTTTTGAAAATGTATGTACTACTTTTACGGTTCATTTGTGTGATTATGTCCAGAAAGAAGCCATGTTTTAACTCCACATGTTAGGATAGACATGTGACATGACATTCGCTTTTCAACAGTGTAACCAGTCGTAGGCATTATTCGAAACGTGATGTTAGTTGGGATATTTTAACGTATTAAGTGCTTTTTTTTTGTTTTCTTCATTATTCCAGTGCGTATGTTAAACGTGACTTTGCTAGATTCTCAGATTCGTCGCCATATGTTTTCATATTGAGTCAAACTTCACTCGTCCTACTTATCGTTATGGCAACACGAGTTACCGTTAGTTTAAAACACATTCATGGTTTAAAAAAAGTTACTGTAGCCGACAGCCGTTAGCAACCATGGAAACGTTAGCGGTTTACGTAAAACTGAAATACTGCACTCATCACGGCCCAATTGATAAATCAGCTGGAACAAATTATTATGATGATTTTGACAACGTGTGACACGGTTACTGGTATATTGGACAGTGCTGTATTTTTAACACTTGAATAAGAGTTAAACCTTTTAGTAACATTCACAAGCTACCCTGCAGTATACAAAGTGATTAAAACTAGCTCCACGTTTCCCAGCTTTGATAAACGCATGAATGCATCCATAATTATAATCAAAACAGGTGATACATTAGTCTGAAATATGTCAATCTGCAAAATGAGTCATTTTATGCTAATACCTTTCTACTTTTACTTCAGTAACATTTTGAGAGCATGACTTTTACTTGTAACTGAGTGTTCCTTCACTCTGGTACTTTTTAGTTAAGTACACGATCGGAGTACTTCTCCCATCTCTGTTATTGGGGTTGTTATTTTTTGAAAACCCTGGTTTTAGTTGTCCATTTACTTTAAATCTAGTTGGTGTGTTTGTCTCTCAGCAGTTCTGGAATAAAAGCCAGGCTCGCGGTGTTCTAGAAGCCTCGCGCGCTCTGTCCTCCAGTGTGTGTGTGTGTGTGTCAGAGTGAGCGAGCAGGTTGTCTCGTGCTCACATTCAGCTTTGCTCGTGCTGAATGGGTCATGATGCTGCTACTGTTTCGTGACATAATTCAACAGTGAAGCCGGAAGTTATATTTTGATTTATTCACTTATTGTTTAATGTATACAGCATTCTTTATATACATTTTAATTGAAGTAGTTTGATCTATTCTAGCTTGTATTTATATTGTATGCATGTACATGTATATATTTCTACTGTGGAATATGTATTTACGGTTTTTATTACTTGTGTTTTTTTTTTTATATGTCTGCTGTAGGTGTAACAACATGGTTCACTAAAATACATAAATGTATCGATTATATATTTAATGAATTTCCCATGTTCAAAGAAACTGATTTTAGAATAGTGATGTTTGTGTATTTTGCTTGGTTTATGTCCTGTTTAAAAGTCACAACTAACATCTGTTTTCTCTCCTGCCTCCTCAGTTAATCTGAACTTTGTGAGAAGATGGATAACAAGGAGGAATCAAAGAGTTGTTCCGTCAGTGTGCTGACCTGGGAGCAGGTGAGCCGGCTGAATGAAGTTCTGACGGAGGTTGTGCCCGTCCATGGACGGGGGAACTTCCCCACCCTCGAGGTGCGGCTGAAGGACATCGTGGCCCGGGTGCGCTCCCGCCTGGAGCTCAGGGGCATCCGAGTGAAGGACGTCCGGCTCAACGGCTCCACAGCCAGCCACGTGCTGGTGCAGGATGTTGGCTGGAGCTACAAGGACCTGGACGTTATCTTCAGGGTGGACATGCCGCACGAGTCAGAGTACAGGCTCATTAAGGACGTGGTGCTGGGAACCCTGCTGGAATTTCTGCCCGAGGGTGTAAACAAGGAGAAAATCACACCCATGACTCTCAAAGAGGCTTACGTGCAGAAGCTGGTGAAAGTCAACACAGAGCAGGACCGCTGGAGTCTGATCTCCCTCTCCAACAACAACGGGCGCAATGTGGAGCTGAAGTTTGTGGACTCGATACGCCGGCAGTTTGAGTTCAGTGTGGACTCCTTTCAGATCGTGCTGGACTCCATGCTCTCCTACTACGAGCTGGCACAGACGCCCATGTCTCAAGCTTTCCACCCCACAGTGAGCGGGGAGAGTGTGTACGGGGACTTCAGCCTGGCGCTGGGCCACCTGCGGGACAAACTCATCGCCACCAAGCGGCCCGAGGAGATCCGCGGCGGCGGCCTGCTGAAATACTGCAATCTGCTGGTGAGGGACTTCCGTCCTGCCAGCGAGGAGGAGTTCAAGGCCCTGGAGCGCTACATGTGTTCCCGCTTCTTCATTGACTTCCCTGACATTGGTGAACAGCAGCGCAAGGTGGAGGCCTACCTGCAGAGCCACTTTGTGGGCGAGGAGAAGAGCAAGTACGACTACCTCATGATCCTGCGGCGCGTCGTCAACGAGAGCACGGTGTGCCTCATGGGGCACGAGCGGAGGCAGACGCTGCACCTCATCTCGCTGATGGCCTTCAGAGTGCTGGCGGAGCAGAACGCTATCCCTGACGCGTCCTGCGTCACCTGCTACTATCAGCCGGCGCCCTACGTCCGAGACCACAACTTCAGCAACTACTATGTGGCTAACCAGAACATTCCAACATGGCTGCCATGTAACTGACATAAAGTGGACGGACGTAAAAGAGGGAGACAAGAGAAGGACGTAAAAAAACTGAAAAAAATATATTGAGGCAATAAATACAAAGTTCCTCTCAAGGCACAATTATATTTAAGTGGACAGGTGTTTTGCTTTGTTTTTGGAATACTTTCTCATTCCTCATCTTCAGAGTTGTCTAGGTCATTGAATAGAAAGTGATATTTTTAAGTGTTTAGACTTTCTTTTTTTCTTTTTTTCATGTTTGGTTGTTTCCCCGTTTATCAGAGTTGTGTTTTGTGCCTTAACCTCCAGATGTACGCCCCAATAATTTAAGTATTGGCTATGTTTTTGAAAAAGGGATGAAAATAATGTTATAGCCTAAAATGTATTTTTCTCCTGTGATTTAGTAAAAAAAATAATACAAATGTGAAAGTCAGAAAAAAATGTAAAATATTTAAAAATAGTATTATTGGGGTAGGGGATATATAATAGGTGACGAGCCCCAAAAAAAGCAGAGCACCAGTGTTATAAATATGTTTGATTCACTGGGGAGGGGAAAGAAGGTGTTACACTAATAACGTTGTTCACATCAGATATGAAGAGGGAAGCGAGCGGAGTCCATTTATTTTTAATTCATTTAGACATGTAAATATCTCTTGCATACATTTGTAGTCTCCCTGATACGCCGACAGTGCCTGTGATTTGTAAACAGTGCAGGAGATGCAAAAAAATATTTTTATTTTCCACTGTGAATTTCAGTGTAGGACGAGCTCACTCCCCCCCCCCCCCCCCCGTATCCAGTTTACTCAGACCTGTACTTTGCAGTCGAGACGGGATCAGAGTGGGACAGCTTGGGCCTCAGAAAGATGGCTCCTGTGTGTCTGAGGAGTTTATGTTCCTCTGTGTTTTTAAGTCTCTTCCAAAGCCTCACCAGTGACCTCCAGATGTCAGTCTTATGGCCATTGTGGGAAGCTCTGTGACGGGCTGCCTGGAGCGAGGCCGGCTGGGAGTCCCTTCCCTAAAAAGGAGCAGCACATGGCGTCCCTCACAACCATCGCAGGCTCGACCGCGGACCTGAAACGGGATCCTCCTCTGACGCAGCTCACTGACTGGCTCTCAAACTATAATTATCCTCTTTTTCTTTTTTCCCTGGGGGTGATATCTTCGGTGCCCTGCCACCTTACATGTGTGGGGAGCTGAGTCACTTCCTGTCCTCTCTTTACCACGCAGTGTTTGAACCCCTTTTGTGGTCATGGGAGCGCAGAGTGCAGCTGGTATGTCGAGAGAGAAATGCTCACGTCTGCCAGTGGGATTCCTCTCCCCTTTGGGAGTTTGAGGAATCCTGGAAGCTACTACCGGCCCCCCCTCCCTGAAAAATGTGACGGATGTGCAGGTCCTCAAAGTTATGAATTACTATTTCTAGCCAAGCTTATTATAGACATTTAATTATGTGCTCTTGCGGTGCGGCTAGCAGATTAGCTTTAGCTGTATGAGCTGTAACTCTCACATGTGGTATCTCCTCTTCACTTTCCTGATATAACAGCATCCAGGCTTGAGAGAGGGAAAGTTGCTGTTCTTATGTAAGAGACAGAAGCTGCCTTCCTGCTGCTCGTTCCACAGATAACCAGCAGCGCCGCTTATCTGGCTGGGGGCACGACTCCTGGCTGGTGAGATGAATTATTGAGAGGGCGGTCAGCTCGCCCCCCCCCCGCGCAGGTCACAACCCGGGTCAGGACACGCTCTACTGCTGAACTTTGGTAGGTGACCTGCCATAGTCTTTTTTTAACAACAAGTCAGGGGCCACACATTGTCAGAGTTACAACCAGCAACTGCAGCGCTCAAGTGCCTTTTGGAGAGTGATTTAGGTTCTTTTTAAGGAGGGATTGTTCTCAGCCGTGTGCAATGTGGACGATCCACGACAACATCTTTGATTACAAGAGATTACATCCTATCCCAGTCGGGAAATTAATTATGGGTTGAGTTTTTGTTGTTTTAGTTTCAGTCCCAAACCATTATCTCCCTTGAAAGCCATCCGTCTAGTCATTCCTGTCAGTGTTTCTCTGTCTTTCCTACCAGTGTGGGCCTTGTTGCCGCTGGCAGCCATGTTGACCTCAGTCGTGCCTGAATGCCTTTTTTGAAATCAAACTTTTTGATTTTCCAAACGGGCATTATATTTCTACACCCTGCCGATCAATTGTAGCTCCACCGGCCCTGATGCAACTTGTCTTGTGTTCCTATCCAAACCAGAGCAATACCTGAAGTGCACTGAGCCAGACTTTTGGCCCAGCAGCTGGAGGTCCCCCAGCAGAGACCCTCACTGACAGAAGCACTTTATCGAGGCCTTGTTTTACTCCAGCCACCGGAGAGGAATGTAAATAACCTAATGTGGTGGATTTGCTGGAGGGAGTTGAGCTGGTTCTCAGGGACATATCATGTGTTTTTGAGGGCTTTGTTTTGTCCCTTTTTTTATTTTGGAAGGGTGAATAGGTTTCATCTGCCTTACATATTGAGGCATCCCCTTCTAACACTTCATGTGTGTCTTCTTCTCTCTGTGATAATTGTGCCAGCAGGTTCTTATTAGAGTAGATCATGTCTGAAAGTGGAGGTAGCAGACTTTAGCGTGCAGCGTTGGCTTTTGTTCTTATCATCTCTCAGCGGGTTGTCGCCTCTTTGTTTAGTGCCAACAGCTGGATTCATCACCACACTCTTAACATAATCTGTGACTTGTTTCAAAGCCAAAAAACATTGATTTGGTGCTTAAAAAAAACAAAAACGTTTTTGCTTCACGTAATGTCAATCATTCCCCAGTTTGTTTATCCCCTCTGAGAGATGATAGATTAAATCTTGGAGCCACATGCGGCAGGTTAAAGTCTGTCTGAGCGACGAGTGGTCCCTTTTTGGGGGCTTTTTGTTGACATCGCTCAGTCAATCAGTTTGAGCGATGTCAAAGAAAATGCAACGTGCGTTTTCTAGACAATCGATGGTGAACGCAGCCTGGAATGTAAATACTTGTGCGTTTTTCTGATGACTAAAAAATGTGTGCCTGTTTAATGAAAGCTTTACCTTCCCCCCCCCCTCCCCCCCCCCACACTAGAGGAGAGAGGGGGTGCAGCAGCTCACGTTGAATAATGTCCTTCATCAGGGTGGATGTGTCTGTGTGTGAACAGGACGATGTGGAGAAAAAAAGAGGGTTGATTATTTCCCCCTTTTTTTTTGTCAGCACACATTCTATTTTCTGCTGTAAACTACGTGTGAATCCTCTGCTTCTCTCACCCCCCCCTCGCCTCTGATTGTCTCACTTGTTTGGGGCTTTGTTTATTAGTACAGCGTTTATTTATTTATGACGCCTGTAGATGTGTTTTTTGCGCTGGGGGGTGCAGAGAAAGCGGAGGATTGTATTTGTAGTGGTTATGTGTGTCTAAAGTCTTACACCATAGGAATGTGATGGAGACTTTCTTACACTTCCTTTATGAGGTGTTGTGAATATTACTGCAGCAGATTTGTGTTTACGTTAATGCGTGGAGCTGTGTGTATGTGTGTGTGCTTGTCTGCATGTGTGTATGAAGAAGTAGCTATAAAAGTTTAAAAAAAAAAAAAAGTGGGAAGACATCTGAAATTTTTCGCACTATATATATATTTTTGAAATAGTTAATGCAAAAGAGCTTTTGTCAGCTTCGTGATTGTGACGACGAGTTGATGGTTACAACCATTATACTATTTCATTTTTCAGGACTTTTACCTCACTTGAGTTTTTCCTTTTGAATGGAAATGTACATCAGGAAATGTGTTTGAAGAGGAAATGATGAATAAAAGAGTATTAAATGCAATTTCTGCTTCAGCTGTTTCTGTCCAAATCTCGCCTGTCAAGCTGTGTCTTAAACTTCAATGGATTTAAGTTAAAAAAAAATACTTACGGGTAATACTGCATTTTCTGTTGAAACTTATAATCCTAACATTTAAATTCCAGACAAGTCAGAATAAAATATTTATAGAGTTTAAACTGTAAACTTATAAGGACAAAATCTTTTTTTTTTTGGGTGTTTATTTAGTCAACAAAAAAAAGTACAAAGTTGTGTAGGACGTATTCAGATCCTTGAGTAAAAGTACTGATACTACACTATAAAAGTACTCCAATACAAGTAAAAGTCCTGCACTGATAATTTTATTTAAAGAGCAACTTCCAGGTTAAAGACACCTGTGAATAAATGTGTAGGAAAATGATGAAGACACTAGATTTTCAAAAAAATATACAAAAATATACACTACAGTGACATCTGGCGTCGTTTTTGTAAGAAATTTTCACTTCCGCATAAAAAAGCCTCGGCACGTGACCTCCCGCGTGTGACGTAACACGGGGGACACAAGGGGGAGAGCGGCCGGTGTAACGTATTAATAAACATGGATCCCAATGCTAGTTTTGACACAGAAGACACAGAAGAAGTTGAACATGAATATTCAAATGCATATGACGGACCACAACCTTATAATTATGAGCCTGCTAGGCGTCCAAGAGACCAGGAGCAGCCAAGGATTAGAAGAAATAACGGCCATCGGAGAGAAATTGAGCTGTGGTGTGAGGAGAACCAGTGGAGAACTGGGCAGCTATCTTGGTGAGTGACCGGCGTTAGCTACAGAATGTTAGCTAACGTCACATCACAACATTGTAAAGTTAGCTATCATATATCAGGCTATAACTAAAGTAACATTGATAATATAGTAACGTTACTAGCAGGACTGTTGATACTGATCCATAACAGAAACTAATGCGCAAGTATCAGCCGTA